CCTTTAAAATGCCCCCCAGGTCAAAAGTGCGGCTTCACTTTATTAAGACTAATGCCAATAGTGCGCAATGCAATACATCGCGCACGGAAACAATTTAAGAGCAGAAAGTTGCTCGGTGTTTGACTGCAAGAAGAGCGGCCTGCAGCCGGCGCGGCCATCCTCCTCTCAGCAGCCCGTGGGCAGAGCAAAGCCAGAGCGGAGTGAATCATGCTGCTTTCAAACTGGACGCAGCAGAAGCAGCAAAATCACGTCTGCTGCTTCCTTTTTGCTGCTTGTACCAGCTTCTGACGCGCGGCTGAAGCAGCTTTGCTGCTCTGGCTGCGCGGTCAAAAAGTGGCTCTGACGCGCGTTAGGCGGAGCTACTCTATCCTTTCTCTGCTTTGCAGCTATATTTGCTGTGATCAGTGGGAATAAAGTAGTTTTATTATGTTTTTAAGTGGGAAAATCCACCTGAAAACTTAATCAGTGCAGTCAGTTCATCCTGCCTTCCAATATTTCTGTCGGAGCCGCTCAGACCCCCACATACCAGCGGTGCGCTGTCAATAGGATCCCATTCAACGGGCTTCTTTGTCAGACATGGTAATTTTTCTAAAGGAAAACTGCTAAGNAGGAACCGGTATCGAAGTGAAGGTATCGGTATTGGTACCGGAACCGAACATTTTTGAACAATACCCAGCCCTACCAGTGTGTTAAAAAAAATTTAATACTGTCATGAATCGATTGTGTGTCAGGAATCCAGTTTGTGTGGTCTGTTTTTGTATTTCCTTTTCTCCACCACCAGGTGGTGCCCTTTCCACGCTGGTCCTCCTGCACACCTGCGGCTCATTGGTTCATTACTGGAGGAGTATTTATAAATGGGCTGTCACTACCTCAGCACCACAGTGTTTGCCAGTTTTGGGTACTCTAGCCATGCTGAGATTAGCTGAGTCTAACCTGAGCCTTCGTACACTGAGTTTAACATTGTTTTTGTCTTTGCCTTTTGGCAGGAAGCCTTCCTGCAATCTGGATGTTTGGCCTTCTCCCCCTGGAAGGATTATTTGTGTTCACACTAGGCAGGGGAGAAACCTCCACATGTCCCATTCAAGTTCCCGCAGAAATCCAAGTAGCAGTCCGCTCCATTGCTCCTCAGAGTCCAACCCAAACCAACCAACGAGTTCCCCCCTTCTTCGGATAAACCCACACCAACTGGATTCAAGGACAAGAAACAAACCCCCTCCTACCTGAATCCCGCTTTCACTGTTTTCAAGAACTCAATCAAATTTCTTACGGACCCTAAACTCATCTCTGTAAACTTCCCCCTCACTTCCAGTTCCGGTTGACCAGCTCTCTGAGTTCCAGAATCCTACTCCTGTAGTTCACCTCAATAAACCTGTTAAACTCTTTCCCTGGTTCTCTGAGTGCTTCTCTGCATTTGGGTCAGATCTCTTAAAAGCATCATGACAATGTGAACTTTTAAACATGTACCAAAGTGGTACAATAGGTCTTGATAACAGTTATTTTAGATTTATTTTGTTGTATATTTTTACTGTTCATTACTTTTAATTGAGATCATTATTACCAACAACTAATAAAAACATCAATTCAGTATTTCAAAAAATTACAATATTGTGAAACTTTTAAATATTTACATTGTTTATATATTTTAGTTTTTGTGGCACTAGAGGCTAATTTTTTAGACAGTAGGCCGACAGGAAAGGGAGTATGAGAGAGGGGGAGAGACATGCGGAAATGGACCACGACCACGAACCCTGGTCGGCCACGTCGAGGACTAAGGCCTCTCGCTGCACCACCTGCATGCCTTATATTTAAATTATTAAATGTCTGATTAAAGTAAGACACCTGGTGTCTTACCGAAGGCCACTATCAGAGCAAGCCCCTTCTCATTGCTTCAGTAATCCAGGCAAAAGGAGCCCCAAGTAAATACTGAGTTGGTCAACATTCCTGGAAATCCTTTTTGTTTTGCATTGATCTTAAGCAGGGATTGACATTAACAATCGTAACTTGCCAAATGTGGTTCAATTTCAGCTGTGGTTAATAGCACAGCCAATACTACAAGCCTTTACAGTAGATGGTTTGATTATTTTTTCTGTTTTTAATTGTAGTTTTCTCAAATGTCATCCCAAATAACAAGCAAAACTAAAGGTGACACTGCAACACTACAGCACTGCCTGAACACGGTGTTTGGTGATTGGTTCGGCCGTGACCAATGTCACTTCAGAAAGGTGGTCCCTGTGCAGAACAGATCTAT